TATATATATATATATATATATATATATATATATATATATATATATATGTATATATGTATATATATATATATATATATATATATATATATATATATATATATATATATATATATATATATATATACATATATATGTATATATGTATATATATACATATATATATATATATATATATATATATATATATATATATGTATATATATATATATGTATATATATATACATATATATATATATGTATATATATATATATATATATATATATATATATATATATATATATATATATATATATATATATATACATATATATATATATATATATATATATATATATATATATGTATATATATATATATAATGTGTGTGTGTGTAAACAATCATTATTATCGACAGTCTTGGGCCCCAGACGCAGACACGGACAGCCAGCACGAGTGTTTCGAAGCCCAAACCATTCGGGTGATCCTGGTCGACCAGTCACCACCACGAATCACCAGTCACCACCACGAAGTCATCAGTCACCACCACGAGTCACCAGTCACCACCCACGAGTCACCAGTCACCACCACGAGTCATCAGTCACCACCACGAAGTCATCAGTCACCACCACGAGTCATCAGTCACCACCACGAAGTCATCAGTCACCACCACGAGTCACCAGTCACCACCACGAGTCATCAGTCACCACCACGAGTCACCAGTCACCACCACGAGTCACCAGTCACCACCACGAGTCACCAGTCACCACCACGAGTCACCAGTCACCACCACGAGTCACCAGTCACCACCACGAGTCACCAGTCACCACCACGAGTCATCAGTCACCACCACGAGTCACCAGTCACCACCACGAGTCACCAGTCACCACCACGAGTCACCAGTCACCACCACGAGTCACCAGTCACCACCACGAGTCACCAGTCACCACCACGAGTCACCAGTCATCACCACGAGTCATCAGTCACCACCACGAGTCACCAGTCACCACCACGAGTCACCAGTCACCACCACGAGTCACCAGTCACCACCACGAGTCATCAGTCACCACCACGAGTCATCAGTCACCACCACGAGTCACCAGTCACCACCACGAGTCACCAGTCACCACCACGAGTCACCAGTCACCACCACGAGTCACCAGTCACCACCACGAGTCACCAGTCACCACCACGAGTCACCAGTCACCACCACGAGTCATCAGTCACCACCACGAGTCACCAGTCACCACCACGAGTCACCAGTCACCACCACGTCACCAGTCACCACCACGAGTCACCAGTCACCACCACGAGTCACCAGTCACCACCACGAGTCACCAATCACCACCACGAGTCACCAGTCACCACCACGAGTCACCAATCACCACCACGAGTCACCAATCACCACCACGAGTCACCAATCACCACCACGAGTCACCAATCACCACCACGAGTCACCAATCACCACCACGAGTCACCAATCACCACCACGAGTCACCAATCACCAGCTTCTGACGCTCAGACATCAGGCGGACGTGAATTAAACACAATTATATTTTAAGAATACAAATCCACCAACCTAACAAGAATGTTGAGCCACACAACTCCAACACAAACAATATTCTGGTCAATGTCATCACGTCTGTATGCATAACTGATGATTAAAACTATAACTAAATATGTTTTAAAAATTAATAATATGAACAGTTTGTATAGTAATATATTATGTTTAATTATAATAATACCCGGAAATGCTACGCAAGTTAGTAGCTTTACAAGAAATCAATAACTCTTGTATTTATATAAATACAATAAAAATAAAAATATAACAATAATGGCAATAAAAAGTCTCATTAAATGTCTTTTGCTTTTGGGTGATATGGTTCGATATATTTTTTTCATTAGTCAACCAAATTTTGATGCTATCCTAGTGAGTATTATGGGGGGAGTGTGTGTGTGTGTGTGTGTGTGTGTGTGTGTGTGTATGTGTGTGTGTGTGTGTGTGTGTGTGTGTGTGTGTGTGTGTGTGTGTGTGTGTGTGTGTGTGTGTGTGTGTGTGTGTGTGTGTGTGTGTGTGTGTTTACCCAGTACACGATAAATTCCAGCAATATATCCATGTATATTCCCGGAAGGAAAATGCGGCTATAATTTCTGGTAATAAATGATGCGAGACTCAGGTGTGGAGTTGTGGTCACCAGGTGTGTGTCACATGTGGTGTTGACAGGCGTCCTCAGCCTTCATGACCACACACACCTGTGTACGCATTGTGGCCAGGTGTGGTAACCAGGTGTAACACCAATGTATGACGGCTCTTGACTGAGAACAGGTGTGACGAGAGAGTTAGAGAGAGAGAGAGAGAGAGAGAGAGAGAGAGAGAGAGAGAGAGAGAGAGAGAGAGAGAGAGAGAGAGAGAGAGAGAGGAGAGGAGAGAGGATAGAAAGAAAAACAGACAAAAAGATAAATGCAAAACCCACACCACGACCAGTGATTTAAATCAAGAAAACTGGACTGAATAAAAGGCGCAACAAAAAAAAAAAATTGTCCCACTCAAGATGCTTGGCGAGGCGGGAGATGGAGATTGAGGAGGCAGTGGAGGCTGTAGAAGATGGATGGAGGAAGCAGAAAGAGATGGAAAAGGTGATGGAGTGTCAGTTGGCATGAGTTGCGGTGGCGATATGAGTAAGGAAGGTAGCAAGATGGAGGAGCAGGAGAATGAGCGGGAGAATATGAAGATCCCCTGACAAGAACCTGTGAATGAATATTACATCATTCTGAGACCCTCCAGGGAGCCCCGGGCGACGCCGGGGGGCACAGTGTTGTGTGGCAGTGACGGAGACCTAATGCTGAGAGAACGGCAGAACCTGTCTTAAAGATGGAAGACGCACGAATGTACGCATGCACGCGCGCGCTCGCCCACACACACACACACACACACACACACACACACACACACACACACACACACACACACACACACACACATACATACACACACACACACACACACACACACACACACACACACACACACACACACACACACACACACACACACACACACACACACACACACACACACACACATACACACACACGTATGTGTGTATGAACACAAGGTACCATCTGGGAGGTGAAATCTTGCAAGAGTCAAATAAAAAGTTCTGGGGGTTGATATCACACCGAACTTGTCCCCAGAGGCCCATATCAGAAGGATATCATCAGCGGCATATGCTAGGTTGGCCAACATAAGAACTGCCTCTAGAAACTTGTGTAAGGAATCATTCAGGACCCTGCATACCACTTATGTCAGACCAATCCTGGAGTATGCAGCTCCAGCCTGGATTCCATACCTAGTTAAACATAAGACAAAGTTAGAGAAGATTCAATGGTATGCCACCAGACTCGTCCCGGAACTGAGAGGTATAAGCTACGAGAAAAGGCTAAAGGAGCTGAACCTCACGTCCCTGGAAAACAGAAGAGTAGGGGGAGACATGATAACCACCTACAAAATTCTCAGGGGAATTGACAGGGTGGACAAAGACAAACTCTTCAGCACGGGTGGGACACGAACATGGGGACACAGGTGGAAACTTAGTACCCCGATGAGCCACAGAGACGTTAGAAAGAATTTTTTCAGTGTCAGAGTAGTTAATAAATGGAATGCACTAGGAAGTGATGTGGTGGAGGCTGACTCCATACACAATTTCAAATATAAATATGATAGAGCCCAGTAGGCTCAGGAATCTGTACACCAGTTGATTGACAGTTGAGAGGCGGGACCAAAGAGCCAGAGCTCAACCCCCGCAAGCACAATTAGGTGAGTACACACACACACACACACACACACACACACACACACACACACATTGTTCACGACTTTTGTTAGGCCAAAGCTAGAATATGCAGCGGTTGTGTGGTGCCCATATCTTAAGAAGCACATCAACAAACTGGAAAAGGTGCAAAGACATGCTACTAAGTGGCTCCCAGAACTGAAGGGCAAGAGCTACGAAGAGAGGTTAGAGGCATTAAATATGCCAAAACTGGAAGACAGAAGAAAAAGAGGTGATATGATCACTACATACAAAATAATAACAGGAATTGATAAAATCGATAGGGAAGATTCCCTAAGACCTAGAACTTTAAGAACAAGAGGTCATAGATATAAACTAGCTAAACACAGATGCCGGAGAAATATAAGAAAATTCACTTTCGCAAACAAAGTGGTAGACGGTTGGAACAAGTTAGGTGAGAAGGTGGTGGAGGCCAAGACCGTCAGTAGCTTCAAAGCGTTATATGGCAAAGAGTGCTGGGAAGACGGGACACCACGAGCGTAGCTCCCATCCTGTAACTACACTTAGGTAATTACCTGTGGCTGATTAACATGGCTGATTAACACACACACACACCCTTATCCTTCACTCACTCCCAACCCCCTTCCTCTCACCCCGCCTGTGACGGGAGGGCAGGTGAAGGGGAGAGGAGGAGGAGGTTGGCGGGGGAGGCGAGGGGAAGAGAGAGAGGGGAGGCAGGAGAGGGGAGACAACCCACACGCTGGTGCGGGTATAATAAGTACAATTCGACATAGAACTGACGAGGCAAATCATGTCGAGCCGAGGAGGATAAGACAGCTTCATGTATTATTGGAAGTGAGAGAGAGAGAGAGAGAGAGAGAGAGAGAGAGAGAGAGAGAGAGAGAGAGAGAGAGAGAGAGAGAGAGAGAGAGAGATCCTTCACGATCAACACATTAATACACAGAATAACAATCAAAGCGCACAATTTGCAACTCAAAGCCTACATGATCCAGTAGAATTATAGGTCAAAAGGAAGTTTAAGACGAAGGCAATTTGCATGTAAGGTGCTTGAGGAGCCCCTGAGGAGACTGTGACGGAAGAGGTCGTTAGACTCCTACTAATAACTCCAAGCCCTCATTAGTGAGGAGACACCGTGATGAGTCTTGGGCACAAGGACCAGGTCATGGTGTTATGGGGGGGTGGGGTGAGGGGGGTGGGGTGTGAGGGGGTGTGTGTGTGGGGGGGGGGGGTGGTGGTAACTACCTACCAGCATCAACAAGGGCATGAGACCTAACTCGTTATGTTCCGCCAACGAGTCTTTGTCGTATCTGTTACGTTACTTGGTAACGTTACTCTAGCCATTACACCTGTGTGTCGACCCTGGCTTTACACCTGTGGATGTTGGTACCTGTGGTACAGGTGCACTGGTCGACCACCAGGACACGTGCTACTCATGTCCTACTCTCTCTCAAGTTGCGGAGGTTAAACTTGTTTATGCCCCTTAGTATAATAAAAATATTAGTTATATCCCCTGACTTCCATGTGTCCTCTACGGTTGTCAGATTTAGTTCCATTAGCCTGTCCTTGTAGCTTAATTCTTTCAGCTCTGGTACCAGTATTATTCCAAACATTTGTACGTTATTAATTATGATTTTGTTTCATAGGATGCGGATTAAGTGGCGGTGTTGCATTATTGGTCTAACAAATGTTGTGTGTAGTGCCTCGAAGTAGTCCTCATTTTGGTTTATAAACAAATATTCTTGTATTTGCCAGCGTCCCATATGCTGCTGATGTTATTCTGTTTGTGTGTGTGCCTCTGGTGTTAGTGTGGGAGTTATTTCCACTACCAATTCCTTGTCTTTTTTTCGATTCCTGTTGCTGCCTTTATCTGTTGGTGTAGCTGCCTTCTGGTCTCCCTTGTTTTATTTTGCCTCTATATTTCCTTAATTTCGTTTATTAATTGAGTTTGTAAATAGTTTTGTTATTTTAACAATAAAGATAAAAAAAAAGATGCTTTCAGTCTCCTCTCTCCCTTTCCATGTTCATTACCTTACACTTGTTGGCATTGAATTCCAACAACCAATTGTTTAACCACTCGTGCAGTTAGTCTCCGTCCTTACCTAGTAGTGCCTACGAGGCAGCGAGTCCACCTCCTCATGCGCAGTCAACTACCCATCTTGTGCACGTTGCAATGCGATATACATATTCTGACGTGAAGGGAGAGTGGTGAGCGGGGGGACGGTGGAGAGAGAATGAGTAATAGTGAGGATAGAGAAAGGGAAGATAGTGATGAAGTGTGTAGAGGAGAGGATAGTGAAGTAAGGCAGCAACACCCACAGCGTCCAGAGTGTTGGCAAGAAACACAACAGCGTCTCAACACGCAACACTCTCAGGTGAGATTTATCTCACGCTGAACAAAAGCTAAACGACAGATAGTTAAATGTTCATAAATTATACCGTTGATAAACTCGTTTTCCTAGGATACTGGTTCCACCTGACTGTTGTTGAAACAAACTCCACCTCACACACACACACACTGGTAACTGTCATGTCAGATCAACGTGCCCAACAGGGTCGGCACATCTCTCGTCTCACCGTCGTGCCAAAACACTTAAGAACTAGTCATGTGTCCAACGCGTCGTAGTACTGTTTGTGTGTGTTGAGTTAAGGATACATGATACATAATTGGCTGTGAAGGGAGCTAGTGGTAAAGAGCCGTCAACGTAGTAGTGTGTATCATGTGTCCTAACAAATTCATAAGTATGTATACGTACGAATTTATAAAACAAGAGGTGCAAAGGCATTTTTATATTTTATCGTATTAGACAGCTGGCCCTGTACGAGAACGGTGAGGGGCAGCGGTGTGTGAGGGCCTGCAAGTGAGGAGCAGCGGTGTGTGAGGGGCTGCAGGTGAGGTAACTGTACAGGGAGGTGGGTGGAGGTGCAGCCCCCACCTCCTCCTCCTCCTCCAGGATATATACACACTGTGTCACTCAGGGCCACCACTGGTACCTCACTAATGGCCCTGGTGGCACCACTGGTAAGTCTGGCCATGCTGGGCCATGTACCCCGACGCACCAACCTTACTCCGAGCACCCGTTACCAGGCTCCTGTGAGCCGCAGGTGCGGCCCCACCACACGCCTGCGGCTGCCGGGGTATCTGCGTGCCTCTGTGTGCGCAAGACGCCTGCGGGGGCTGTGCCAGGGCGCGCCGTGCCGCCGCTCTGCCAGGCAGCGTGCAGGAGACGGCAGCCAGGAGGCAAAGGGCCAGCGACACCACCGTCGTCATGGCCCCAGGCCGCTGCTTCACGCTCGACGACTCCCCGTGCTGCATGGCCGCGGGATATTCTCCTGGTGGGAAGAGCCTTACTATCACACTGAAACACCATTAGTCTTCATATATGCGGGGAAGTGGTCCCCCAAGCCAATATGCAACAAAGAACTCCTCACCCCAGAAGGATTCGAACCCAGATAGCCAGGGACTCCATGCACAAATGTAACTTACGGTCACCGAGTGCTGTTGGGAATTGGGTTAACGGTCTTATGACTCATTTTTGTTAATAGTCGTCGTGGCCTAGTGATGATAGTACTGGACGCAATAAGGTGCATGCAGCCCCTGGCTCTCTGGATTCGAATCTTTCTTGGGGTGAGGAGTTTTCTGTTATATATATAAATATATATATATATATATATATATATATATATATATATATATATATATATATATATATATATATATATATATATATATAGGGGTACCACCTCTGGTAAAAGTGTAGGGACCCATAGCCTCGGAGAAGAAAATAAAAAGTAATCAGAGAAGACCTTGTGGATCCTCACTGAACACTTTGATATTTTCTTCTCCTACCACCCCTATTCTTTTGGTATGTGTGTATATTTATCTAACTTTATTTGAAAATGTCATTACACAAAAAAAGTTACAATATTGATTACATGCAGGGTACAAGGCTGCTTGCCACAAGTTGAACAGCTCCTCAGATGGCGGGCAGGAACCATGGATGCAGTGAGCATTTCCTCTCTGGATTGCCACACTAAGGCGCTGAAAAAGAAAACTGGCAGCTCTAGGGTCTCTAGTTGTTTCGATTAGCTTAGACCCCAACTCCTTCAAAAAGCTACCAGCACTTTTACCCCAGGCACCAAGTGTCTCTGAGGCAATGGGGACAAAATTGTAGTGGTGCTCAAGGTCTCTGTATTTACGTGACTTGGCCGCTTCCCGGTGATTGGCAGCTCCTCCTGCTTGTGTAGCACTGAAGTCAACATAGGTATTGGCTAAAGTTGAAACGCAAGTGTAGTCCCACACCAACTGTCTACCATTCTTCCAGGGGTTCACCGTGATTCCGTCTGGGCGAATATATATATATATATATATATATATATATATATATATATATATATATATATATATATATATATATATATATATATATATATGTTACTAATTTACTCAAATTTTCGTATATTATTGCAAAAAATATTATTTCAAACAGATTTTTTGAAGCAGAATACTGGAACATAAATGTTTTCCATGTAAAACTAACCCTCACGTGAAACGGCGGAAATGTGTTTTCATTCAATTCAAATCGTAACTCTGCTTTTTCTGATTAAAAATATCATAAAGGATCTAATCTCCTTGATCTTTACTTATTGGATTCGTAAAAATAAACTCCATTCTCATTGAGAACTTGTCTGTTCAACTGTGTACTGTACACTAAGCTTCGTGAACATTATGTAAGTCCTCGTGGAAGATGAATATGTATTTCACACTATATAATATGCATATATTTATCTATAGAATATAAGATTGTTCTTATACCCTTTCTACTTGAGTTAGTATGCTTTACGAGACCTTAACTCGTTTAAAATGTTTTTGAATTTTGAAAAAGTATATGAAAAGAAAATTAAATCATTACATTAAATAACTGCAGTCATTTATTGGGTATTTTTTGGAAAGGTCACGTATGGCTCTTATCATTTCATCGAGATAATTTCTTAATATCGTCCTAAATTATAAATAGAAAATAGATCTTGAGCATGGGAAAAATTACTCGTTAAAATGAAATTACAAAAGGTAAATTTCAATGGCATTACAAAAGTGTTGTTGCTTGCACTATGTGAAACTTCCATCAAAATGAGTTAAAGTCTAACGGAGAAATTCGAGTTGAAGCTCAAAAACTACATTTTCTGAATTAAATTTTCCTGCTTAAATGCTGCTACCAAAATTCTCAACAATATTAGTTCTTACAATAAAATTAAATTTCTGGATACGTTTCAATTGTTTATCTCTAATTAATGTAATTATATTTTATGTATTCATAGAAAAAATAATTATACGTCGGCGAATTATAACCAAAAACCGTTCCAAAAATTTTCCACTTTCTTTCACATAAAGCTCAAAATATACCTAAAACTCTACACATTTTCTGGTGAAACTGAAACATTTCGAATAAGTTGAACATTTTACTAAACCCCGAAACGGCCCCACCACAAGAGCCGTTTGGCTGTTGGCTTAGGCTATTTGCTGACCAAACAACAAGTATTTTTTAAGCCCAGAACATTGTCCAGAGATAGTGTAACCTGTGTGTACTCACCAAGTAGGGGGTGACGCCTCCTAGTGTACACCCTTCGTCATGCTAGGCTTCGTTGAATATCTATTATCTAATCTTTGTTTACTAATTCTTTATACAATATTTTGATCGTATGCGTGATCGTATTCTTAATTGACCGATTCCTAATTAACTGTTTTCTATTGGCTTGACAATCAGAGGGTCACCTGAGGTATTTTGACTCCGGAGTGGGAACTATCAACATCTTGCAGCCACACTCGGACGTGAGAGCTTGACAAGTCTGGACGTACTGTGAGTCAATCCTTAATAGGGGAAGATTTCACTGGAGCGCAGTGAAGCCCGACCTTAAAAGAGGAGTGAAGAGGGCGTGAATGGCTCAGGAACAGACAAGGCAGAAACTTCAGAAGAAGACATTTCGTATTTCCAAGAGTTAAGGCCGTGCCAGGGTCGTATTTTTTTTTAGTGAATCCTGACACATCTCCAGGATTACTAATGGTCGTGGGACCACGTTTCACTGCATCCAGATTGCCGAAAACTCCAGTGACATAGATAAGGAAGTGATAGCCGCAGCGGGCAGCCTGAGGCTCTCAACTAGCAACGACTGAACACTCACGGTGAGGTGAGAGTCGGGTAAAGAAGGTAGAGAGAGCAGAGCCAAGGCAGGGAAGTTCTATTACTCCCATGACAATATGATCCCAGTATTACGAGGGGAAAGTCTATGATTAGGGCCGGTGTATCTCTCCAGTGAGGGAAGAAACACTGACTCGACAGCCAGACACCTGAGTTAGTGCCACGAATATCCTAGCGTGAAGGTAGGCATTAAGATCTCCTGCATGGACATTATAATATAATTTTTACATTAAGTCACCGAGGGCCACTATTGCTGCTCCTCCATACCTCTTCACCAAAAATGATTAGCAGCGTTTCAGGACGAGTGTGGGAGTCAGAGAGATAAATAGAGAAGACTTCAGGACCAAGAAGAGGTCGCAGCATTTTGGGAGTGCCAGGAAGAGCCATAGGAGACAGCTTGTGAGTTTGTGAGACAGCTGATGTGAGTTTGACGGCAAGAGTGACACTTGCGAGGAAGAAGGCCACTCCGCATTGTCATTGCGACGTTCCTTTAAATAAGATGTAACTAGCAGATAAATACCCCCCCCCCACGTCATGTGACTATCTAGATCTATCATTTAAGGTGAAGTTTTATTTTCTGACTGTGCGAATCTTATTATGAAATGTTCTATATTCAAGTTCAAGTTCATGTATGTTTATTGAGACAAGAAAAAAATACATCGCAAAGGGATAGAGTAGCTTAGGCTATTTCTATCCCCCAATGTTATATGATATACTTACCATAGATGAAGAAGTAACAGTCCGCGTGTTATGGTTGCAAAACAATAGTTATTATCACGACTTGGGATTGCGACGGGGCAGGGAGGAACAATTGCTTGCGTGCCCATACCTGACCCTCTACCACGTAGGAATCGCGGTTTCTAGGGTTGTCCGGGAACACACCACACCCCAGTGACACTCATTCACACTCGCCTCGAGTGCCTCTACCCCCCTGAGTGCCCCCACACCCCGAGTGCCCCCACACCCCGAGTGCCCCCACACCCCGAGTGTCCCCATAACGCAACAAATCTACGAAGGAACGTTAGCTTGAATTACGTTTGCAATTCAGAATATAATCTGGAGCCTTGACCCGACGTGGGGGATCGTTGTCAGCAAGACCGCACAATGCTTGCCAACACAAATCACAGTTCCTCTCACAATGCCTTCCTCTGCTCCACTAACTGTTGTCAGATCCTCACTAATTCATAAAAATATATATTGAAATATTAGGCTAGGCCATGTTGTTCGTTCCTCAGTCTTAATAAAGTAGTAAGTAAAAGCTAGATCCAAATTTCACACGAGTTTACCGAGTTCAATAATGAGTACACTTCTTTATTAAACATAATCCAACAAATCATCAATAATCCTGACCGCTATTAATGCTGAAGTCTTGAATCTTCAATTGCTGGGAAGCCTACCCCACCAGCTGCCCAATATCATCGCTTTAGTACTTATTCAATTCAAATTTATCACAATGCCTTTCTCTGACTGTTTTATTTATCATTTATTCAATAATTAAGCATTATATTTATCATTTAATAAAATTAAGCTCCTAGGAACACAAGGACCTAATAATACAACCTAATTTAAATTTGAAAGCATTATAACTCAATAAATCTCAACACAAATGATGACTGCGCATCCACCACTTTCATTCCTTATTTAATAATGTAAATACCGCTCAGCACAACACCTAAACATAGAGTAATGAAACCTCTTAGTCCAGATATGTCACATAAAATAGTCCCGCCGGCTAATGAAATTCACAGTCCAACATCTGAGGCGCTCGCTGGCTATTCCCCTGTTAATAGCTCTCCGGGCTATTCCCCCTGTTAATAGCTCCTCTGGCTATTCCCCTGTTAATAGCTCCCCGGGGCTATTCCCCTGTTAATAGCTCCCCTGGCTATTCCCCTGTTAATAGCTCCCCGGGGCTATTCCCCTGTTAATAGCTCCCCCGGGCTATTCCCCTGTTAATAGCTCCCCGGAGCTATTCCCCTGTTAATAGCTCCCCGGGCTATTCCCCCTGTTAATAGCTCTCCGGGCTATTTCCCTGTTAATAGCTCTCTGGGCTATTCCCCTGTTAATAGCTCCCCTGGCTATTCCCCTGTTAATAGCTTCCCGGGGCTATTCCCCTGTTAATAGCTCCCCTGGCTATTC